AAACTTCAGCTCATGCTCTGATTCCTGCTTGTAGCTGAGGGTGTGAGTTCTAGCTTGCTGCTGCTGCTCAGTGCCACACTTTCCCACTAGGATGGGTTTTTCCTCTCTATGACAGTGTAAGCCCAAGTAAACTCCACTCCCCCACCCCCCAATAAGTTGACTTGGTCATGGTTTATCACAGCAACAGAATAGTAACTAATACAGGAATCACAAAAAATTCAGTTCCTTAAAAAACAAACAAACAAACAAACAAACAAAAACCAAAAAACTGAAGAACCAATTTGTGTTCTTTAAAATGTCAGGAAGTCTCACCACCATAGAAGTGGACCTTTATTCTAGCTCTGTACTTGATCATTTCCTAATGGACACTAACTAGGGCATTTCTTGGCCTTTGTCTGCAAAACAAGTTTTAGGGCTGGGGAGAGGGCTTAGTGGGTAAAAGTGCTTGTCTCACAAGCTTGCAGCTCTGAGTTTGGTCTCTGTCACTCATGGAAAAAGCCAGATGTGGTAGCATTTATCTGTAATCCCAGAACTCCTGCAGGAAGATGGGAGATAGACAGGCAAACAGGCCCATAACTTGCTAGTGCCATCTTGTCTACTGATCCATCTGTTAGCCTGTGTGCTGATGTGATATTGTTTGTTATCTGTGTATGTTTCTGTGTGCCACCTTTAGCTGCGATATGTTACATAAAAATACGCCCCCTTCAAAAGGTTTAATTCAAGTTGGCCTATAGGTAAGCAAAACATACATGTGAACAAAGTCCAAATTCCTTCCAATTCCTAAGACTTCAACAAATCTATTTTAAAATTACAAATTAAAACAAAACAAAAAACAATCTCCTGAACTGATAATACACTGGCTGTGTTACCACTAGATACTTCAATAATGTCCATGTCTCAATTTCAAAAACCACCACTTCTTGGGGTTTCGTTACAATACTCTGTGCAGATGTCAGTAAATCTAATGAAAGGCTGGTGTAACTGGACAGGGCCGGATTGTCCCTTGGTGTGATGTCCAGAGTGTGTCCCAAAGAGTTGAGCCACAAGACACATTACTTGGGCATCAGGGCTCCCTTTTGCAGGCTCTTAGTTTTGCTGATAAAAGAATCTAAGATTTAGAATGAAGCTTGAGGACCATTTTACTAGACTTTAAGAGGAAAACCAGATGGCAAGCAAGGTATGTCAGTAAAATGGGGGAGCAGGAAAAAGGGGGTCACAAAGGAGACTTTCTCATCTCATGTGGGCTCAGCTCAGGAGTTAGAGTTCCAGAGGTTCCGTCACAGAAAGGTCCACTGGGTCAGCGGCTCTGAGTCCTTGTCTACAACCAGAAATTCATGGTTGATAGACGGAGATGTGGTTTGTTCTTACTGTTTTTGAAACAGAGTCTCTGTGTGTGATTCTGGATGGTCTTGGACTTGAGCTCACAGAGATCCCCCTGCCTCTGGAATGCTAGGATTAAAGGCACATGCTACCACTCTCAGTTGGTGAAGGTTTTTTATAAGAAAGAGGCAGAGGCAGGCTCTGAGTTCGAGGCCAGCCTGGTCTTCAGAGAGAGTTATAGGACAGCCAGAGCTACACAGAGAAACCCTGTCTTGAAAAACTAAAACAAGCTGGGCGGTGGTGGCGCACGCCTTTAATCCCAGCACTTGGGAGGCAGAGGCAGGTGGATCTCTGTGAGTTCGAGGCCAGCCTGGTCTACAAAGTGAGTTCCAGGAAAGGCGCAAAGCTACACAGAGAAACCCTGTCTCGGAAATGTACTTGTGTGTGTGTGCTTGGTGTACATGTGGAGGTCAGAGGACATTTTGAAACATTGGATTTCTCCTTTTACATAATGGTTCCAGGAATCAAACTCAGGTCAGGCTTTCAAGGCAAGTGCCTCTATCCACTGAACCATCTCATTGGCCTACCCAAGGGTGGGTCTAAAAAAGAGTTTATTATTGACAGAAAGTTTAAGAAAAGAGGGATTTCAATTTGCTGAAGAAAGCAGAGCTCAGGACAGCAGCCAAAGCTCCATGGAGGATCCAAGAGAGGGCTGCGACAAGTTTAGATTGGCTCTAATATGGGAGGATGCCCCAAGCAAGAAGGGGAAAAAACCCAAAGAGCTACATTGTAGGGGCTTTTTACAGGACTTAAGGCAGAATCTTGACAAACACCTAGGGAATTTTCTTGAGACTTGTTAACTCTCTGAGCATCAAGTTCAGCTGCTGGAGAGCCCATCTGCTCTATGCATGTTTCTCTGATTCTAACCAAGGAGATGATCGTGTGGTATTTGCTGCCTGTTCATGTGTTATTAATTCAGGGGGTGGTTGAAGCTCCCTTCTGTCCGTCTCCGACTTCCCTTGTTAGCAGTTGACCTTGGCCCATCTGCTGGCTACTTCTCATTAGTTGCTGATCTTAAAGATATTGCTGGTCTCAGGCCTTGGTAGAGTCCACTAGTCATTAATTAAACTATATCTTTTTGTTTTCACATTTATGTGGCAAGCTTGAAGTTTTATTAAGGACAGATCATGTACTTAGGGGGTACTCTTATCACAGTTAATATGACGTGGCCGCAGCTTTTCCTGGTTACCTCATATCCAGCACCTTGTGTACAGGAGTCTGGAGTGGCCTTTCTGGGACAGATGAGGTTTTTTAGAAGCCATTCTTAGTCATAGTGAAGACTGTTACAACTGGCAGTATTAGGAGGAAGCATCGTGAAAAGGTAACAGTGATTTGCCTAGGTTCCCGAGATGGGGTTGCAGAGTTCATGGGAGCCATCCAGAGCCTTTCCCCAGAGCGAGGTGCTCCTCTTGTCTGGTTTTGGCTATCTCATACTCAGTTACAAGGCCTTTTATTTTTCATTCCTGGTATTTCCAACCACTTTGATCCTAACATTGAAGCCTAACCTTTAAAAAATTATATATATCTACACACACACACACACATATATAAAATGTTTTTACTCTCTGTCAGAAGGGAAATGGAGAAGAGGAAGATGGAAAAGTCATGCCTTTTGAGTAGGGTCAGCAATGGAGGTCTGCAACCAGCAGGACTGGGATGTGCTTCAGAGGAAAGTGAGCAGCAACCTGGAGTGCCAGGGCTTGGGATTGTAGTTATCTAATTTCAGTTACCTAAAGAGATTTAAAAAGGAAGTTACCTTTTTAAGACTCACAAAGGTGGCAGGTTTAGCTGTGAAGACCTTTCAGCAACTGTCTCCAGAGAGGGGTTCCTGGGATGACTAAGCAGATTATCTCAGTAAGGGAATAATTATTCCTCTCATCTCCTCAGCATGTCCTCAGGCATACTGGCTTTCCTGAGGAGTGGTCGCTTGCTCAAGTGACTGACAGGCCCAGATAGACTAACTCTTAAGGGAGGAGACGATAGTATTTACTGTTCCAATTTCTTTAAGATTAAACTGTCATTTCTCCAATTAGGGCCAGAGGTCAAAGTCAAATTCCATTCTTTGGTCGGGGGAAGTAGCTTCCCCTTAATGGGCCTCAAGCAAGCCCTGGCCGGCTACCCTTCCTTCCTTCTCTCTTTCATCAAACTGCTTTCCTACGTCTTGACTAACAGAGCAGTTTAATACAGCATTTATCTCGAATCTAGTCTCCTTTCAGTACACTAACTTGAAAATTAAATACAAGCGATGAGGGGAGCCCTGGGGAGACGGCTCAGTGGCTGGGAGTGCTTGCAGTCAGAGCATGAGGAGTCTATTACAGGTGAGAGCTTAAGACTCCTGCAAGGCTTCAGATCTCCAATGCACCATGGCACGGATCCCCTCCCCCACCCTCACAAAAAACAGTAATAAAAAAATTCCATTTAGATTTCAGAAATCTAGATGGAGGGGCTTGGGAGACAATATACATTGAAACATGAATAGAATTAATTCTATTTTTTAAATTAATTTTTTGTTTGTTGTTTTTTTGAGACAGGGTTTATTAGTGTAGCCCTGGCTGTTCTGCACCAGGTTGGCCTCAAAATCAGATCAGTTTGCCTCTTCCTCCCAAGTACTGGAATTAAATGTGTGCACCACCAGCGCCCAGCGAACAGAATGAATTCTATGCAAAGAAGTCAAAACAAAATCTAGCCAAGTAACAGGCACATCTGCACCAAGAAATGTTCAAGTCAGCATATCTACGTTTAAATTCATCTTCGGCACTCCGGGTAGCTCCTGACGATCACAGGATAACGTGGGACAAGCATTTTGGATGAAGGAAAAAGGAACTAAAGAGACATACATAAGCTTGGCAGTGGTGGCGCACGCCTTTAATCCCAGCACTCGGGAGGCAGAGCCAGGCGGATCTCTGTGAATTCGAGGCCAGCCTGGGCTACAGAGTGAGTTCCAGGAAAGGCGCAAAGGTATACAGAGAAACCCTGTCTTGAAAAACCAAAAAAGAGACATACATACTTAATACTACTTGTAATAATAACAAAACCATGCAGAATGTATATGTTAAAGAAGTTAATGTTAACCACTGGGGGGTGGGGGTGGGGGAAACTAATTAAGGAAGGACCACGACTTTAGAAGTCATTGCTCTAAACCAACATTGCTGTATATATAGCACGTAGCCCACATGGCTTTCTCCCAGGCAGCTGTAAACCTCACTGGGCTTAGTGCTTACATGCGGGCCCTGAACATGGAGTCTAACCTAGGGTGACCTTGAATTTTTTCCTGGTTCTCTTGTCTTAACCATCCCCGTGCTTGGTGTTTTTCTGAGAGCCAAAAAACGCGGCGTTGGCCGGTCCCCAACACTTCCAAGGCCCAAACACACCAGGAGTGCGCCCACTACCTCGTGGGGAGGAGCTCGGCCAAGAGCCGCTAACTCCAGGCCCCACCACGCAGGACTCCACAGGACGCTGGCCGGGATTTACCGAAACCTCGCCTCTTGCTAGGCAACCGAGTCTCCACAGCGACCGGAAGAGGAAGATGCGGGGCTGCCCGGAACCGCGGAGGGCGGGCGCACGCAGTCTCCCTGGGCTCCGCGGAGACAGGGCTACACAGCGTCCCGGTCGCCATGAAAACAGGCCACACCCCGGCTATCCCGGCCCGTGCCCGCCCAGTGCGCAGACGCGCATGCCGTTCCGCGCATGAGCAGTGCGGCTTGGAGCCCGCCAGCCCGTGTCTCCGGCGCCAGCTACGCCGCTGTGGCTGTCACTATGGCCCATTACAAAGTGAGGGGGGCGCGGCGTGGCTCGGGGCGTGCGGGCGGCGCCGGGTGGGAGTTGGGGCGCGTGCAGGGCTTGGGGGCGGCGGCGGGGCGCGCCGTCTTCCTGCTCCGGCCCCGGGCTCCGGTCCCTGACCCGCCGTATCTCCTCAGGCCGCCGACTCGAAGCGCGAGCAGTTCCGGAGGTACTTGGAGAAGTCGGGAGTGCTGGACACGCTGACGAAAGGTGAGCTGGGGGGACGGCGGCTGTCCGCGCTCGCGCGCTCCTGGCCAGGTGGGGCCCTACCGGGAACCGGTGAGGCCTTGGGCTCCCGCGGGTCGGGCGCACGCCGGCTGCGGGACGTCACCTCGCCCCCGTGGCCGCTCTCTGCCCGGCACTGAAACTCTTGCAGCTGTTGGAAAGTCTCTCCAACTTCCGTTGCTTTCTCCCAAGCAGCCGCAGTGGACACGTTAGTAAGAGACCTTGAGATCCCAATTCCTCCCGCCTCATAGTGTGTGTGCGGGATCTTACACATCTTCCTTCGGACAAAAGGCAACTAAGAAAATTACCGAATTTGAAAGAGGGTTACTATTAGTCTTCAAAGCTGGGGATTCATAGACAATTTGGGCCGTCGCTTTTCAACTCCCTCAGCCTGTAGTAATTCCTACTTTGTGTAGATTTCATAATTACAGCAGAATTAGATTTTGAAGAGCTCCAGAGCACATAAAAATGACTATATCGTTTACCTTAAAAAACGGAAGCTTACTGTTAGTGTATCCCTTCCTTTCTGGGTTTAAAGTTAGAGAGAATGGTGACTGAAACCACAGGATCTTTAGAGAGAGAATACAGCTATACTAGCCTGACAGTACATTGAATGTCTGCTACATGTTACTCAACACAACATTGCCTGGTGTTTTCAAGGGAGTAGAATGGAATTGCTGGCAGGGATTGAAACTTTGGTCCTTTTGAGAATGGGAAGTGTCTGGGAAACTATTTGTATCTGCTTTTTAGGAAACAAAAGATAGGGGAAATTCTATCTTTTGGGAGAATTTAGCAGAAAATAGGGCTTTTAATTCCCTCACACGGATGAGCTGACAAGTTTACTTACTACCTACTCTCAGACTCAGTAATTTCCTATATCTTTGCAAGTCAACATGAGCAAACTGTAAGAACTCCTCTGTGAAAGCATTTTACTTTGTGGCCTCGGAAGTGTCACAGATGCTTGGAATTCTGGGAAAACCCCCTCATGTTAGTTTCTTTCAGGTAATGATCTTATTCCAGCCTTGTGTTCTGGGCACCAAGGGATACAGCCATGGAAACGTCCCCATTGTCAGGAGCTAGTAACTTAGTTAGGGACACACACACTAAAACACAGTGCCAGGTAGTAGTAAGTGTGTAACTTAAACCATAGCACGACTAGGGAATAAAGATGTGACACTTTACATTGAGTGGTAGAGGGAAGACCTTTGGACAGAAAGACCAGATAAGTATCCTTAATCTGAAAATTTGGAATCTAAATTGCTCCAAAGCTTGTAACTTACTGAGCATTGATGTGGAAAATCTCATACCTGACTGCATAAGTTATGTCAGTCAAAATTCAGGAACCGAGGAATATTTGCTTGTCATGTTCACATATGGAACGTAAATGAATCTCACGTTCAGGCTTGGATCTCATCCCCAAGATATTTCATTATGTATGTATAAATATTCCAGACTCGAGATAAACATGAAATACTTCTGGTCCCAGGTATTCTGTGTGTGGGGGTGAGGTGGGGGTTGGATGCAGCAATCGGACAGAAAAGCAGTAAAAGGCAGGTGGGGGACAGTTAACGATAACTGAATATGGAGAAGATGCGCAGCCTTCAGGCTGTGTAGAGATCAGAAACATCTGCATGCTCCTACCTTCAACCTTTGTAAACCTAGTCTTCTAAATAACATCTGACAACATGGTATCTATTAATATGATTTAAAACTTAATTTTAAAGGTTAAAACATGTTTTATACAAATTTACATTTTCCTATCCAGCAAACACTTCAGAGAGGATTTAAAATGGCTTTTAATGTCAAAACACTGTAAGAAGCCAGACATGGTGACAATGTTTTTAGTGCTATAGTGAGGGAAGGCAGATCTTGCATTCACTGCTTGTCTGGGGTACATAACAAGACTGAACTCAAAAAAGCAAACTAGAGCTAGGCTGGAGGATGGCTCAGGGGTTCAGACCACTTGGTGCACAACCATCAGGACCAGAGTTCAGATCCCAGCCCTCATGTAGTAAGTCAGACAGGGTCTCTGTGTAATCTCAGTGCTGCGAGGCGGGAAGCAGACACAGGATGAGCTTCAAGGCTTATTGGCTACAAGCCAAGAATGCAAGCTCCAGGTTCAGTGAGAGATCCTGCCCCAAAAGGTCTAAGGCACATGCAAAAGACCAGTACATCTTGTCTTATTTCTAATTGTACCTGATAGACTGAAGTAGGATGACTGCTTGAGTCTGAGGCCAGCCTGGCTGAGTAGCATTTTGTTCTTTTGAGCAGAGTATCAACCTATAAAATACCTGGCTTTAAATAACCTGACTGCTAGGGGCCAGCAAGAGGGCTCAACAGGTGAAGGTGCTTGCTGCCAACTGATGGATCTGAGTTTGATTCCTACAACTCATTGGTAGGAGGCCAGTATAGAATGTGTCTTGACATGTATCCTCTGACCAACCCCCCTCCCTCCCCATATGTAACTAATAACAATAAATCTAGCTGCTAAAGCAAAAGGGAATATGATTTGGTTGAATTCTCTCAGATAGAAAGTACAATCATCCCATAGAAAAGCACAAGAAACTTAACACTCTGTAGCATCAGCCTTGCATGCACTACTGACAGGAATTTGGAAGCTGAGGAATAATGGAAGGAAACGGCAAGAGCATCAATAGTCACACCTATAAAAGTTTAGATTCGAGCTGGCCTGGTGGTGCTTGCCTTTAATCCCAGCACTCAGAGAGGCACTCTGAGTTCAAGGCCATCTTATTTTACATAGTTCCAGGACAGCTAGGGCTGTGTAGAGAGATGTGGTCTTTAAAAATAAGTAAATAAAAGTTAAGATTCAGTACAGATCAGTGGAAGTAAATGGAAGAAACACTTTTGAGTATATAATTAAAAAAGTAATAAATAGGGTCTCGAGTATTGTAACATAATAAGAGATGATTGGCAGATAGTGGTGACATAAATGTGATTTCTCAAAAAGTTGTATATTTTGGTGTAAGTTAAAAGTACTTGCTCACTTGCTGTTTTTCATACTGTATTTAATTATTAAAACTCTAATAAAGGACATGTAAATTGGTTTAACACAGGACTTCTTAATTTAAAAGTTAGACACATTGGACAGTTGTAGTTTTTGCTTTTGTCAGATTTTCAAAGTTGGGTGTGGTGACACACCTGTATGGGAGAACTGAGGCAGGAGGATTGCCATGAGTTTGAGGCCAGCTTGGGTTAGCTGTCTCAACTACACACAGGTTCAGGCATCTACAAGCTCAGGAGATTTTTGTAAAGGGTCCTCGTCACTAATTTGGAGAACTTGCCATCTGAATATTGAATTCCAGGAGGGCTTGTTCACTAGATAAGTGAGACTGTGTTCACATGAGGCCACATATTTTTAAATGCCAATCTGAGCATGTTGATTACTGGTAACATTTTTGGTTGGTCTAGCCTGTCATATATAAAACTTAATTGTTGAATATTCTGAATGGAACTGAAATTTCTCTAGTTAGATTACAGTAGACTGTTTTGTTTTTTTGAGACAGGGTTCTTTGTAGCCCAGGTCTGCAGCTCATTGCTTTTCTACAAATGAATGTCCTCAAACTCCTTATCCCCCTGCCTCACCTCCTCGGTACTGAGATTACAGGCGTGGGCCAGCACACCCAGCTTCCTTAATTGTTCTGCCATTTTCCATGCCCCACTTCAGTCAGACTTGCAAACAGCACTCAAGAGTGATCTTGCCACCCCCCTTGCTTTCAAACTGTCGAAATATATTTGTAGTCCTTAGGATCAGAGTTCAACTAAGCTGTTTCAGTTTTCCACTGTCTGACTCTAGACTGCCTTTCCATTTATTACCATTACATACAACATACTTGACATTAGTTCCCTAGTATGTGCTCTGAGCTTTCCCATTTTTATCTGAAACACAGCTAGGTCTCAAGTCTGCCTCTGATGCTAAGTATTTCTCCAGTCTCACTCAGAAACTCAGTAACCACCATTGCAGTTCAATACTCTCTGCCTTCCTTATCTTCTGCCATGGACTGTAAATTTGTTGCAAGCAAGAACACTGTCTGAATTATTCACCATCCTATGGACAGTGTTAGCAATCTGCTTGCCATACAGCAGGCAGATAGTATTTACTGAGTTTCAGAATATTAGCCATCTACACTGAGGACTTCATTGCTTTTCTTTCTCTTTGCAGTGTTGGTAGCCTTATACGAAGAACCAGAGAAGCCCACCAGTGCTCTGGAGTATCCTTTTCATCTCAGAAGTCAAAAGGCCACATTTTTGACATTTTAATTTATTCAAATATATAATAAGCTTTAAATACTTTTGTTTATTGAAAAGTTCTTTTGAATCTTCACATGACCTTGGATAACCTTGGTGGTGTGGTGGGTGACTGTCCCCCAGCCTCATTCTGCTGTGAGTACATTCTTAACACTGATGTTAGTTTTTTAAAGCATCACTTAGGAGCTGCTACCCCGGAAAACCCAGAAATAGAGCTGCTTCGCCTAGAATTGGCAGAAATGAAAGAGAAATATGAAGCTACTGTAGAAGAAAATAAAAAACTGAAAGCAAAGGTAAATTTAAAAAAGAAATTCAAATTAAAAAACAATCTTGTCTCTAATGATTATCTGACCAAATCCTTACTACAGGCCAGAGATGTAGCTCAGTGGTAGAGCATCTGTTTGGCATGTGCGAAGGTCCTGAATTCCATCTATAGCATGATAAAATCAGAGTAAACAACCCCAAAACTTCACTAAATGGGCAGTAGAGAGGGACAGTGAGTATCAGTTTGAATCAAATGCACAGCAAACTTAAGCCTCATCTAGAAAAAATCCCAAGACCAACAATAAATAGGATAAGCAAAGAGTGGTCAAGAAGAGGGAATTGAAAACCTGCATCAATAAAAAGGCGGGAATACTTGCTAATACTGCTTAAAGTACATGGATAATTTTAAGGTTCTTAGGCAGTTCAGGTCAGCCTAGGCCACTGCTTTGTTAAGGGTACCTAGAACACGGCAGTGCATAGTCCACACGGTCTCAAGCATGCTTGCTCCAGGCTCATAAGGACAGACTTGATCATATCTAGAGCTGAAGTTTTCCCTTTGTTCAAACTCCCATAAACTTGAACATCAACTCATAGTCTTTGAGGCTTATTACATTCGGAACTACACAATGCACTTTCCAAATCTGACAGCGAATTGAAAGAAGTCAAACCTTATGAAGTCCAGTGTTCTTGTAAGGAACCACAAGCTTTTATTTAAAAAAAAAAAAAAAATGCAGTGACTGAGATTATCAAAGATGCTGAGATAAACTCTTTGTAGTCGCTGTGTAGACCAGGCTCGCTTCAAACTCAGAAACCCTACCTTTGCCTCCCTAGTGCTGGGATTAAAGGCATGCACCATGCCAGGGCCCTTTTGGTACTCTTTTTTTTTTTTGGTTTTTCGAGACAGGGTTTCTCTGTGTAGCTTTGCGCCTTTCCTGGGACTCACTTGGTAGCCCAGGCTGGCCTCGAACTCACAGAGAACCACCTGGCTCTGCCTCCCAAGTGCTGGGATTAAAGGCGTGTGCCACCACCTCCCGGCCCTTCTGGTACTCTTAAAGTCACTTTTCATTGACTGACTGTACTAATAGAAATCACATAACTCTTCGTCTGTTTTTTAGGACAAAACAGTTCCATATTACACAGCACGACAGTTTTGGAAAGAGAGACTGTTATGTACCTAGTAGTTGAACAGTTCAGTCATGAATTGAAACTAAAGTTTAGTTGCTAAAGTTTTATACAAAAAGGGATTTTGTTAGTTTTAATTGTACTCAATCTTAAGTAAGCAAATGGTTTAAGAAAGATAAGTTCAGGAATTGATTATTGACTCAATAACAAAGTTGAATATAATATCTAATTTCATTGTGTTACTAAGTTTTTTACCCAATTTAAATAAAATTCATCTAAATCCTCTGTCTTTGCCCCGTAGCTTGCTCAGTATGAGCCACCTCAGGAGGAGAAGCGTGCTGAATAGAATTCTTCTCAGTTGAAAAGACACTGAAAACTGGTTTTGTATCACTTGAATAGCTTGTATAGTATATAATCTTCCTGGAAAGATGCTATAAACTTTTAATATGTTAAAGCCACTCATCACACTTTAATGTTATAAACACATATACATAGAATCACCAATAAAAACTCAATATAACTTTCTTTGGGTCTTAAAGCAGGAGAATCCAAAGTAGATCTCGAAGAAAAGCTAAAGAACCACATAACTTTTTACCTTCAAAGAAATTTTATTTATTATCCAATTAGGATTGATGGTACTGGTTGTATTTTAGCTAGGAGATTTAGCATGGAGCTATTCCTTGGTTGAGGACTTGAGCATAGTAGGCACACTCATTCTTGACAGTGTATTCCCAGTGGACAGATCTGTGATGTATGATGCTTCTGCATGGATTCCCATGCATCTTCTGCTCCTTATATAATATGGAATAAGTAACTCTTCTTTGCCACCACTTTGCCTTAGATAACTGTGTGTGTGCCAGTATGAACTCTGACACCACGTTTTCTTTCTATGCAATCATGCCCATCTGATAATGCTGCCTTGCTGTGCTGTGTGCTGTAGTGCGTCCTGGTTGCACATTAGTCTGTGTTGTTTTCAGTTTGCTTAACGCTGCAGCTACTAGATTGTAATTTATATAGCTTCCAACAGGACTATACTCCTACCCTGCCTTACTTAGTTCCTTAGTTGAGCACAGAAGAGAGATAATATAAAACTCTGGGTTCACGCACAAACTGGGATGGGAAAGGGATGAACCATTATGTCACAGATGATTATAATATATAATTATATAGTGCTTTTTTCCTCTTAAAGGTATTTTTTGAGCCTTGGATTAATTTTATCTTTAATATCCCTGTGAAGTAGGTAGGGCAAATATGAGGGAGGTGGGTGCTGAATTTTTTAGGCCAAAGACTGACGTTTATATGAATTGGTTGCTAACTGTAGAGCCCTGGGCAGGTCAGTTAATGGCTTGGAGATTCCCTTTCCTCATCTGTACCATGAGAACATGTGCTGCCTACCTCACAGGGTTGTTGTGAGGTCAAATGAGATGATGTACATGAACGATTTGTAAATGGTAAAGTACCACTTGTTTTGGTAGTCCTCTTCTTTCTTTTTGGGTGGGGACAGTCTCATGTACCCCCAGGCTGGCCTTGAAGGTCTGATCTTCTTGCCTCCAACTTCTGAATGCTGGGATTACAGGCATTCACCACTACAACTGGCCCGTTCTCCTTTCTCTGGGAAGACTCACAATCAGATGTGTGTTGATCACTTGCTTTCCTCACTCACAGACACTGAAGTCCTTCTATTTCATGCCTTCTATCTGTATTGTTAGGGAGCCTGTATTTAAATTTTGATCACAGCACACATCCAGTCAAAGCTGATTTAACCAGCTGAGGCACTGGCACCTGCTGGAAACTCTGACCAAGCCATTCACAAGGGCATTGTAATCAGTCATGTTGGCAGGAGTGTGGCCATGGTCTGCATTTCTTCCAGTCACAAGTTTGTTTCTGGAGGGGGCCCAGCTACTAGTGGAAGAACATTGAGCTGGACTGATTCTCTGTTTACCGATTGAGAAGAGCCTTTAGATGGATAACATTGGGCTAAGTGCTGGTGTGGTAAAGATTCATTTATTAGGAGACACTATGTAAACAACTACAAGGTGGGTTAGGATGTGCTAAGAATTGTAGGAATAGCAAAAGAGGTCCTCAGGAGGATTTGGAAGGGAGAGGACTTAGCTTCTTTAGGCAGTTTGTATGGCAGCCATTTTGTTGATACAGACAACTACATTTTGTTTTCTGGCAGTCTCTTTTTTCTCCCCACCTCTCATGGTACTTTTCATTCTCATGGTTATTTTCATTCTAAAACAGGCTAACTATATGTAGGTGGAACTGGCCTGGAACTTACTATGTAGCAGATGGTAGCCTCAAACTCAAGATCCTCCTGCCTCTGCTTCCCAAGTGCAGGGATTACAGGTGTGCACCACCATGCCTGGTCTAATGTTATGTCAGTGGGTTTGTGACAGTCTCTTGAACCATCCTTTTGCATGTTAGTTGCAGCATGTGGGCTTGATTACCACTTGTAGGTGGAACTGACCTGGGACAACCACTGATACTTAAGAATTCAAAGTTTGGGGCTGGAGTAATGGCTCTGTTAAGAGCAATGGCTGCTCTTCCAGAGGTCTTGAGTTCAATTCCTAGCAACCACATGGTGGCTCACAACCATCTATAGTGGGATCCAGTGCCCTCTTCTGGTGTGCAGATGTACCCACAGACAGAGTACTCAGATTTAAAAACCAAAATAACCATAAATAAATAAATCCTAAAAAAGAAAAAAGGATTTCAAGGTCACTGGGCATGGTGAGCACCTGACATGGGTGTTGGGAACTAAACTGGGGTCTTCTCCAGAAGTAGTCCTGAGCCCCGTTTCCATCATTTCCGTCAAGGACTTAAATGAAGACAGTATACAAGATGATGCTAAATATAAGTGGAAATGTAAGTCATCTCTTCAGTTCCTGCTACACTTCAGCTGCTTTATCTATAACATAAAAATTAGGGCCTACAGACATGGCACAGTGGGTAGAGGTGCTTGGGCACAGGCCTGAAGAACTCAGTTCATTCCCTGGATCCCACAAAGTAGAAAAATCAGCTCCCAAGAGTGTTCTTCCAAGTGTGCACAGCTGCGTGCACACAATGCATATAAACATTCTGAACAGACATGATGGTCTGTACCTATAATCCTAGCACTTGGAGGCAAGTGGGTCAGGAATGTAAAAGTTATCTCTGACTACATAGTAAGTTAGAGGCTAGCCTTGGCTACATAAGATCCTGTCTCAACACCACCCCCCAAAAGTGTGTGTGTGTGTGTGTGTGTGTGTGTGTGTGTACACTTTTACAACTTACCTACCCTACAAGGTTATTGTTAGGATCAGATTAAACACGGTGGGTATAAAAGTGCTTTGCAGGCTGTAATGGGCTACTTACAGATCAGTTGTAGTAATGCCACATCTGTAAATACCACAGAATTGGAAAGACTGGCTGGTAGACTACTTTGGAACAGATTTTAACCTGATAATCTTTGAGTACCTAAACTGCTGAGCACAAACAAAAAAGTTAAAGACACCAAGTCATATAGTGATTTAAAAAATTTAGTTACACAAGTAGGGTTTCTGACAAAATACTAGTTCTAGTGATCACTAATGTGAACCATTTAAATTTCCATCTGGGAATAGAAAGGTCCAGGTGCTAAATGAGTCTCAAAGCTCTGCTGGTTATTCTGTGGGTACCAGGTATCTGAGGGATGCTGACAAGCATGAATGCATTTTAAGGAAGAATGATCAATAGGGAGAAGGGATGTGAAAGCATGGCTGAGTTGTTCAGTATGGTTGCCACCAGTTACACGGGGCAGTTAACTCAAAACAAAAACTCGGTTCCTCAATCCCTGCAGCCTTGTTTCTAGCATTATATGGTCAGCGAGTACTATCCTGAACAGTACAGACATAAGTGTTTCTACCCTCAATGTCCTACTGAACAGTACTGTAGAAGCAGTGACTGAAGTAAGTGAGGAGAGCAGGGAACCGAGAAGACAGTGTGTAATGAGGACTGCTTGAATAGTAGAAGGGCTGTTGTAAAGAAGGCTTTGAGGTGTATGACTGTTGGCTTGAAACTTTTTTGATACTGATACTATAGCGGGGAATAACCTTGAACAACTTTCTGGTCCTCTTGCTCCCTTGCTGCTATGATTACAGGCAGGTGCTACCAGGTCTGGGGTACGCAGTGCTGAGGATGGAATCTAGGGTTTCAGAAAAGCTAAGCAAGCATTCTACCAACTGAACTACATCCTCAACCCTTTGAATAAGAAATTTCATAAAAATGTATTTTCCTTTTATGTGTATGAGTGTTTTGCCTGCTTGTGTGTATGTGTATCATGTGTATGCCTGGTATCCTTGGAGTCCAGAAGAGGGCAATGGATTTCAACATTGGAGCTATGAATGGTTGTAAGTCATCACAGGGGTGCTGGGACTGAATGTAGGTCCTCTGCAGGAGCACCAAGTGCTTTTAACCACTGAGCCATCTCTCCAGCCCAGAATAAAATTTTGAGCAGAACAGAGCTTTGGAGATGGCTCAGTGGGTAAAGCACTTGTCACATAAATGTGAGGACTTGAGTTTGAATCCCCAGAACTCACGTAAAAGTGAGCAGGTTTGTCTGTAATCCCAGTGCTCCTGTTGTGAGATGAGAGGTGGACAGGAGTCAGCCCAGAAATTGGCAGGCTAGCTAGCTTTGCAGACGCAATGCTAAACAACAAAGAAGTAACTTTGTCCCCAAACTCAAGGTGAAAGATAAGATATCTGAGGTTGTCCTCTGATCTCTCTCTACTCCTATACCCCACCTAAAACTGTTATAACTTTTACCACAGCTACCCTTAAATTTGATTTCCGCTGGCAGTTGGTTCTCTGAATCCATGGATTCAGAGAACTGGATTGGAAATTTTGGGGAGAAAATTGTACTGAGCACATGTAGACTTTATTCTTGCCCTTACTCTACACAACACAGTGTAACAACTTTACATTCTCCCCCATGACTTCTTAAGAAAAGGGTTTCTAGCTCAGGCTGCCAAGGAACTTGATGTGTAGAGCAAGCTGACTTCGAACTTATTGGGGGGAATCCTGCACCTGTCTCTAAAAGTACTAGGATTTACAGGTGTGTGCTATCGCCCATACCTGGCTAAGACACTATGTCTTTGTATTGGGCATTATAATTAATGCAGAGCTGATATAAAGTATGTGAGTTGTGTGTATAGGTTCACATGCAAGGAACTTGACCATCTTCCAATCTGTTCCTGGGATTAAGGGTGGCCTGTAGGCAGTCTCTCATAGTGAGGGATATGTACATTTAAGTGCATTCTGCGTATTAGATACTATGGAGTTGGAACTTTTTTAGGTGAGTTGTGATGAAATCTGAAGATATGTCCTGCTTTTAACTTCTAAGATCAGGTATAACCAATGTGTCAGACCTACACAAGCTTACTTTTTTCTCCACAGTCAAGTCGGTCTCTCTTGAGTAGGGGATAGGGCTGTGTGATACAATTAGCCTAACATAGGCAGAAGACCCCGAATTCCATCCCGGCCCTGCAGACAACACAGTCGTCATGTAAAACCAAGACCCCCTACCCCACCTTTTAAGTGTACAGAGCCGTACTTTGTCAAATTTTCACTTCTGGAGTCTGAGACGTGAAAATTCTCATATGGCTTTCTGAAGCCTACTTTGGCAGCAAGCATTTGCCTTCATTATTCCTAATTCCTCTGGTCTCTAATCACTAGTAAGTCTAAGATGATGCAGTACTCAGTTGCTGGATGGGATAGTGGAGGAGCACTTGACTAGGTGGGAACAAGGAAGCTAGAGTCCGTTGGATATAAAAACAGCAGGATCCTATCAGCGATCTGCTTGCAGAAAGATAAGGTGTTTTAGCACGCTTGTATTTGTTTTCCTTATCGGCTCCGGCTACCAGGTAGGGCAAGTTATCACTGGGACTCCTGTCTGCCTGGCTCCTACTTCATACACTTTTCGCACATCCCAACCGCATTATCGGTCAGGACCGGCTCAAACACGACCTCCTGTGGACTTCCTCACCCAATTCTGGAACGGTTCATCTGTGCTCATGGCCTTCTCACATAAAATCTGTACAATCTACTTACACAGATGTCCAATCTCTGTTCAAGCAACTCGAGAGCAGGCAGGGGCAACTCGGTTTCAGTTTCAAGAGCCTTCCTGGTAGTACCCAGGACCTGGCAGGCATCATATAAATACTGGCTGGGCAGCTGCAACCAGAGGAAGGGGGGGGGGGGGGGGGCAACGAATTCTTACCCAGACGCCCAGAAGCATCGTCCCTGCGGTGCTCTCGGAGCCCGGAAGGAGGCGGTGAGCGGTGAGCAGCGCAGCGCGCAGGGCAGGCCGAGGTGCGTGAGGGATGCGCCCAGGGCGAAGGCCCGGAGTCCGACAAGAGGCGCGGCCCGGCCGGATCTCCTCGTGACTCCTCCTCCCCCCCCACCATCAGCCGCTGCTAGTCAGGTGATTCCGGGCACGTGATGCACACCACCTACCCTGCTGCTCCGAAGTGGCAGCCCACCCAGCCAATGAGAAGCCAGTGCTCGGCGGCAGTCCAATCAGAGCCGGGTTCGGGGGCGGGCCCTGCGGCGGCGGCGGCTGCCGGGGGCGGCGGCAACAGCGGCGGCAGGGGGAGGCGGCGGCCTGGCCTGGCCTGGCCTGTCAGGGCGCGGGCGGCGGCGGTCCAGCACCATGTCCCTGCAGTATGGGGCGGAGGAGACGCCCCTGGCCGGCAGTTACGGAGCAGCCGACTCGTTCCCCAAGGACTTCGGCTACGGTGTGGAGGAGGAGGAAGAGGAGGCAGCGGCGGGCGGCGGTGGTGGCGCGGGGGCCGGCGGTGGCTGCGGCCCGGGCGGCGCTGACAGCTCCAAACCAAGGATCCTACTCATGGGACTGCGGCGCAGCGGCAAGTCCTCCATCCAGAAGGTGAGCGTCCCGCGCCGGGCCTCCCGCCCTCGGTCTCGCTCGGTCCGCGGCGCCCAGGTGGCGGCCTCCCGGGAGGCCCGAGAGGGTGGCGGCCTGGCCCCGCGTCCCGGCGCACCCTCCACGCCTGCGAGCGCAGAGCTTGGGCGCGACCCGCCCAGGGTCCCCGACCTGGCTCTCCACGTCCGACTCTGCCCGCCCAGGGCCGAGCGGGGCGAGGAGGCGACGCTGGCTGGAGGGTGGAGGCAGGTGCCGGGCACCGCCCTAGATCTCCGCCCTCTGGGTCGCAGCCCCTGTGGCGTTGAGGAAACCGACTTGTCCTCTCCGGTTCTCACGTGGAGAACTTGGTGAGCGTGCTCTCTTGCAGCAGCATCTCGCTCGGGTGACCCGAGTTTTCAAGGATCCCCTCCCAGGCTTCGGGCCGCAGCAGCTCTAGAAAGAGTTGTGGCAAAGACACCGGGCATCAAGTTTGTTGTTAGTCTGTTGAAGACTTCTGTAACGTTTATTCTGGGGAGGGTCCCATTACTGCGCCTACTTTATTTAGTTCTCGTCGCCCGGTGATTGCAGTTACAGGTGACAGGCAGTCCCCTGAAAACTGGTCACAAAAATCTTTGGAAATAAGTGTTTTTCAGGCAGACGGACATCAACGTATTTGTTTTCACCTTGGGTCTGCCAAGATCGTATAGGCTTTTTGTTTTTAGTGAACAGAAAAATAGACGCAGGGTTGACTTATTTCTTCATCAACCATCCCCATTACAAACAGTGGGGAAAAAAAAGAACTGATAAAACTGGTGTCACCGACACCCTGGCTTTCCCTGTTTTCCACTCTGACACAAAGGTTTATCCACATCTGTGGTACTTTGTAGATGGCGATGTTTTTAAAACGTGGCTACCCCCTCCCGCTGCCTTTGCTGGACTACTGTTTTATTTGCCTTACTTCTCTTGCCTGTGTCAAAAGTTGGGCTTTTGGAGGCAAGTTTGCTGTATGTTGGGATTGTATTAGGCAAGCCTTAAAGCTACATCTCTAGCCCTCTGTTTGTTTCTGTCTGTCTGTCTGTCTTTCTTTTCACTTTCTTTCTCATGCATCTCAGGCTGGCCTTGATTGAATTCTGATCCTGAGTCTACCTCTCAAGTGCTGAGATTACAGGTGTGAGCCGCCATGCTAGGTTTTACTTGGTGCCAGGGCTTTAAGCCTAATAGACAAGAAGCGCTCTCCCCACACTGAACTACACCTCTGATTCCCTACTGTCATGCTTCGCCACTCATTGTCTTTACCATTTCTTTTGGAGCTGTCTCTCCTTTCCTCCCACAGGCCTCCTGACTTCTCACTCCAGATAATTTTACTTTCTGTTTAGATTGTAAATTCAGTGAGGGCAGGATCCAGTCTGTTTTCTTTCTTGTTCCTTAGAGCCCGAGATAGGTAGGTATTTATGTTATTTTTGAATGAGCACAAAGTCTTAAACTTTATCTGGAATAGCTTCATGATCTTAAAGCAGGTTTTGACAAGTTTAAATCTTTGACAAAACACAATAGAGCCTGGCTGATGACATTAGAATTTTAGTATGGAGGAGGCAAAGGCAAGAGGATTGGGTTTTGAGTCTGGGCTACATAGCTAAGACCCCTTTTCAAAACAAACCCCCTCCCCCCAAAATAAAAAGTTACAAACACTGAGAATGAAAAGACAAACACGTGGAAACAGCAGAAGCAAGAGATGCTGCTACTAGTGTTGATGCAGTTAAAATAGTGCAAGAAGAGCTCAGTGTGCATGAGGGAAAGTTAACGTGGTGTCTTTGTCAGAAGTAGGATAGTGCCAGTGATTTGGCATCCAATTATCACCTTATTTATTTATTTATTTATTTGTTTGTTTGTTTATTTTGTATCAAGGTCAAAATTTTACTGCCATAGAATTTTTAACATAAATTCTGTAGTTTAGTAGTTGTGAAATTGTTTCTGTTTCTCTTAACAGGTGGTGTTTCATAAGATGTCACCCAATGAGACTCTCTTTTTGGAAAGTACAAACAAGATTTATAAAGACGACATTTCCAATAGCTCCTTTGTAAACTTCCAGATTTGGGATTTTCCTGGACAGATGGACTTCTTTGACCCAACCTTTGACTACGAAATGATCTTCAGGGGGACAGGAGCGTTGATATATGTCATCGATGCACAGGTAGTTAGGTATAATGTGGTGTGCTTCTCTTCTCTGGTTGCAAAAAGATGTAGAAACAGGGGAAAATTGTTGGTTTCCTTTGTTTGTCATGTGCTTGAAGCTTCTCTCTTTCCAGTAGATCCCCTGACAGTTTAAGACATGCAGCTGCAGAGGGATTTTTGGGAGCAGACCTGTCATTGTACAATTCCAGACTCTCAGGTGCTTAGGAGATGTCATTTACATTTCTTGAGTCCCAGTTAAGGAGCAGTTACCATTGGCTTTCTACTTTTATTGGCTAATAGTAGATATTGCTGTACTTTATGAACTATTACAGTGGTTAACTCACCCATTGAAGTATCCCATCAGTGGCCACAATATAAGGAAGAATATGAGAAATGAATCCATTATACTTTTCCTGATTTGTTTTAAGTTGAATTTAATCTAGCAAGATACACTGAGGGCCCAGTGTGTGGTAGGCAGATGGATGGGCTGTGCCCCTACCCTTGCGCTTACCTTTTGTAAGCTGAAGCTTACCATTGTAGGGAATGCTTTCTGAGTGATGCCAACTCCGCAGTAGTGCTTTCTCATACACTGATTTACAGAGTATTGTGTGGGTAGTTATTCCCATTTACAGATACTTGACTCAAGATTTAAGCAACTTGCTCAGAGCCACACACCTGACAAATGGCAGAGCTGGGATTACTTTAACAGTCCTATTGGGAAGAAATGTGCATTTTGCCTCTCCATTCTTTATAGTAAGAACATTAAAAATTCAGGCATTGACTTGGTATTTGAGTTTCTATCTTAAGAAATTGAAGAGCTATTTACTGGTTATGTGTCAGCACATCTGAATATTTATGAGTAATTAGGATAGCGACTTTTCTGTGGTTGGGGAAAAAGGTGGTTTGAGACTTTCTTAACTTGTTACTTATGTTTTATAAGATTCCTTGTTAAAAATATTTTGTTCTGACTTTCAGGATGACTACATGGAGGCTTTAACACGACTTCACATTACTGTTTCTAAAGCCTACAAAGTTAACCCAGACATGAATTTTGAGGTTTTTATTCACAAAGTTGATGGTCTGTCTGATGATCACAAAATAGAAACACAGAGGGATATTCATCAAAGGGCCAATGATGACCTTGCAGATGCTGGGCTAGAAAAGCTCCATCTTAGGTAACAACATGCGTGTTTGATATGAGAGCCCTGTAAATGTATTCCCATCTCTGTCATTATATACACCAGCTTTCTGTGACTGGTGGACCCTTCCCCAATTCTGTAATCTCTTCTTTGTTGAATTCCAAGCTGTTTTGTAAGCTTTGTGTTACTGAGAAATTACTTTTTCCCTTTTTCATTTTCCTGATGATTGAAGTCATGTGAAGTGTTTCCATTGGCACTCTTGCAGATTCATCTCAAGGGACTGGAGTCAGGCTGTTTCCTCACGGCATGAGTCTGCTTTGGGACTGCTCCCCTCTCGGTTTCTTCACTTTTTAACCCTGGTTGGCTTTGTGCAAGAAATCTGTCATAATTTTTGTGAAAGTTGAGTTTGGGTCTTGTCAATGTCTCAGTAGGAAGAGCCTTTTAAAGTGTGGACTGACTCTAGTGTATGTTAGCTTTTAAAACAGTTTATACTTCCTAGAAACTCTGAAGTTAGGTATGTTGTCTTCTGCATTTACATAGTACTGCTATTGAGTTTGAAGGAGTGCTGGTTTACAGTTAAATATGAAGAACTTACCCTAAAGAACACATACTAATTTGGATTGATGGTTATGTATTTTTTGTATTTATATTCTAAAAGTGTATGAGGAATGTTATTGTATATCTTTTGTGATGATGGGAAGAAGTGAGTATTTACAAGTATGTAAGAGGATGTCCACTTCACCATAAAAACAGCTTAAAGGGGAAGCAGAGAAGAGATGCAAGTGTAATTTCCTTATCCTTGCTGTGTTATAAAAACTTCCTTCTATGCTCAAGCCAGTTGTCCTGTCCCTAAGGTTTCTGGGCCTTAGGCTGTAGAAGCTTTCAGGTAGTTCCTAGAAAACATTGTAGGGAAAATTTCACTGACCCTCTTAGATTAAAATCTTTAAAACACTTAGACTTTATAAAAGCAGGGCATGGTGTTGTGCCTTTGTAATCCCAGCACTCGGGAAGCAGAGGCAGGAGGATCTTTGTAAATTTGAAGTTAGCCAACCAAGGCTACTTAGTTAGATCCTGTCTTGAAAGGCAAAAGTAAATAAATGTTTATAAGAGAAAGTAAAAGTGCCATCCCATAAAACCCCTGAATCTTAGGGATCTGTTATTTTATTATTATTATTTTTTATTTTTTTGCCAGAATTTAAAACATCTTCCTTGTACTGGTAAGGAACCATTATGATTCTCTCTACTCCCTGTCAAGCTTCCTGTTAAGCTCTCCAGGGCATCCTATGATTTCCCCTGTATTCAGAAGGGCCCTACATTAAGCCTGTTAGCCTCAGTAGAATTTTGCATCAAGCTTTTGTTATTTATGTGTGCTGGGGATTGAGTCTAGGACCTTGTGCATTCTGTCTGCATGCATTCTACTCTTGAGCTGTGCCCCCCCACACACACACACATCCCAAACCTCCGTTTAGCACCAGCCATTCTATGGATGCAGTGCAGCTTGCTTTTCCATTTCTAGGAACTCAGCTTATGAACATGCTCTGTGCCTTTCAGGTTCTACCTGTTCCCAACCGTCTCCAGTTCTCACAGATCTTGAGGACTCTAACCTTGCTGAAGTTTTTGCCTAGAGGAAACACTGACAAGCCCCTTTCTTGCTAGTGTCAGGAGTCACATGGCCTTGCTGCTGATACTCTGACCTCTAGAATAGAGCCCCTTCTTGATCAAGTTCTTACTTTACTTCCTTGTAATTTTCTTTAAATCATCTGTAAAGTATAAACACAGTTCCTCATTTCTGATGTGGTAATGTGTTTATAAAATATATCATGAATGCAATTAAATGATGAAAAATGTCCTCAATGAAAAAAGCAGGTGGAATTGTCCATAGTGTTTAAGGGCCCCTTTCTGTTCAGATTTCTGTTTTGTTAAACCTGCATGTGATTTCTTTACTGCAATCCATTCAGAGTCAACTCCTGCTCTTTATAGGTCTCCGTCCTCCTTAGGCTGGTTACCTAGTCCTAAGGACCAGTGCAGTCATTTATTCAGGAGAGGTCGGGTATTTTAGGGTGTTCTAGTTACCTAATCCTAAGGACCAGTGCAGTCATTTATTCAGAAGAGGTCGGGTATTTTAGGGTGTTCTAGTTACCTAATCCTAAGGACCAGTGTAGTCATTTATTCAGAAGAGGTCGGGTATTTTAGGGTGTTCTGGCTGCAGACTAAGTCGTTTACTCAGCAAATCCTTAGGAGCACTGTTCAGGCAATGGGTTTGCAACTGTGAGGGAGATGACAGAGCTGTGTTTCACCTGGGGCTTAGGATTGAAAAGGACACAGCTCGTAAGAAGTGTGTGGTGGAGTTTTAAGTCCTTACCAGTGCTGTGAAGAACAGATTATGGCAGAAGGGTAGCAGGTACAGGTTTACTATTTATGTAGGCTGGTGGTGCCGGAGAGGAAATAACAGGCTCTAACATAGAGCCCCGGAACTCTGCTGTGTAGACCAGGCTGGCCTCAAACTCACAGAGATCCACCTGCCTCTTCCCAGGTGCTGGGATTACAGGCTTACACCACTATGGCTGGCAGGAAAGAACTTTTTGAGGTGACATTTTAGTAGAAATGTGAATTGTATTATTTAATAAATACCACATTACTCTGCTGGGTGTGATGACAAGCCTGTAATCCCAGTTTAACTCAGGGAGGTGGGAGCAGGAAGATTAGATATCATCCTCAGCTGTATAGTGAGTTTCAGGCCAGCCTGGGCTCCATGCTACTCTGTCTAAAAAACCAAAATAAAACAAATGACCCTGTCTCTACCTTGGTCTTAGCTTTTGTCTCAGTTTTGTGCTTGGGGAATAAGCTTTAAGGGGTGGTTTGCAAAGCTTATGTGGTCTCGGGGTTTCTCTTTTGAAGAGCCTTCTTGGGTATTCCCTCAGTGCCCTCTGTGTAATGTAGCAAAGTGGGTGGGTTTGGGAAGTGGTCTTACTATCAGAAATGATGGGGCTAGTAGACAGGGTCTGTTGGAACATTAGGGAACATGAATTTAAGGCATTCTGACAGTGCTCCTGAAGTTATTTTGTGAAATAACCATCTTGTGTTGCATTTTCAGCTTCTATCTGACTAGCATCTATGACCACTCAATATTTGAAGCCTTCAGTAAGGTGGTCCAGAAACTCATTCCACAACTGCCAACTTTGGAAAACTTATTAAATATCTTTATATCAGTAAGTGTACTATTTACTTTGATATAATTTCCATTCTGCTGTTGCCGTTAAATGTGTTTGCATTTAATTCTCCCCCAAAAAATGATACTTGAACTAAAGATCAGTGACTCAACATGTAAGTTAAATAATGGCATAAAATATAGCTTGAGTTGTTTCCTTCTGATTTTATTTTATTTTTTATTTTTTGTCTTTTAGGTAATGTTCCCTGTACTTTGTTAATTATAAGCATCTTCATGAAGGTTGGGATGTAGCTTTGTGCTGGAGCACTGCTTAGCATGTGGGAAGCCATAGGATCAGTTTCTAGCACCATACACACAGAAAAGTAATATTGAATTATTGCTGGATGTGGCGTTGTACATCTGTAATCCCATCATACAAGACACAGGCAGGAGGATTGAGATGAATGCCTTGTAAGGCTCTGTCTAAAGTCTCCCAACCAAGCATCATTTATTTTTGATGTTTAATTGTATACTTAAAGGTGATATGAAGGATTGGAGTGAGTTCATTGGTAGAGCATTTATTGAACCCTGCATTCAGTATCCCAGAACCATAAAAAAATAAAATAAAAACAAAACCACAGGGAATATTACTTTTAAAATTAAGAATGTTTTTCAGTGATTTAAGGTCTTTGAAAAATTGCAAATTGTGATTCCTAAAAGAAACTGAACACTTACCCAATTTTGTTTTTCCAAGAATTCAGGTATTGAAAAAGCTTTTCTCTTTGATGTTGTCAGCAAAATCTACATTGCAACAGACAGCTCCCCCGTGGATATGCAGTCTTACGAACTTTGCTGTGACATGATTGACGTTGTAATTGATGTGTCTTGTATATATGGGTAAGTGCTCTACACATTTCTGCAAGATCCCAGATAGGTGAAAACTTACCTAATTCCTACCTCTGGCTTACACTGAATGAGATGAGAATTTATTTTTAAAGTTGCACTTACTTCCGTACTGTATATGTGAGTATAAATGTGTGGGTGTGTTTGCCATGTCGCCTGTGTTGTGGGCAGAGGACAGCTTTCAGGAGCTGGTTCTTTCTACCCTGTTGGTCTGGGCGGTTGATACTCAGGTTGTTAGGCTTGGGGGCAAGTACCCTTGCCCACTGAGCCATTTCAGCAGCCTGAAGTGGGATTGTTTAGAACATGTGTGTCATCTTAGAACATGATGTCTCCTTCAGAGAGGAGAGCAGAGAACACCTGGGAAGTCTCTTTCTGTACTGGGGGGTTTGCACGATCTTCTCTCTTCTGGGACTTGGCAAGTTTAAACAAAAGAACCCAACTAGATTAGTTTATTTAAAATGGTCTGGGGACCAGGTGTGGAGGCAGAGGCAGGCAGGTCTCTGTGAGTTTGAGGCCAGCCTGGTCTGCATAGTGAATTCCAGGCTAGCTAGGTCTACAGAGTGAGACCCTGTCTCAAACTTTCCCCAAGATGGTCTGAACAGCCAGATGAGACTGCTCATTTGTAGAACCTCAACACTTGGGAGGATCAGAAGTCGAAGGCAGCCTATCTAACCAAACAGCAGTAAATAAGACACTGAAAAGGTCTGAATAAATGTTACTTCCTAATTTTAAACCACACTAAAATGATCTAAATAAGTGGTACTTCCTAATTTAAACTTAGGTTTCATGGAATGAGGGACTTTTGGGGGCTTTTGTTTGTTTGAGATGGTTTTAACATGTAGCCCTGGCTGGCCTACAACTCACAGAGATCCACCTGCCTCTGCCTCCCAAGTGCCGGGACTAAAGGCACATACCACCACACCTGGTAGAATGAGGGATTCTTAATCTTTTTTTTTGTTTTTGTTTTTCAGGACAGGGTTTCTCTGTGTAGCTTTGACGCCTGTCCTGGATCTCACTCTGTAGACCAGGCTGGCCTCAAACTCACAGAGATCCGCATGGCTCTGCCTCCTGAGTGCTGGGATTAAAGGCGTGTGCCACCAACCACCTGGCGGGATTCTTAATCTTAACAGTGTCTTTAAAAAAAAAAGTCGGAATTTTAGCTGGACATAGTGGCATTCACCTTTAATCCCAACACTTGGGAGGCAGGGGCAGTTGGATCTCTGATTTTGAGGCCAGCCTGGTCTACAGAATGAGTTCCAGGACAGCCAGAGCTACGTCATAATGAGACCCTGTCTTAAACAAACAAGCAAAAAATCAGGATTTTAGTTGTTAGAAGGACTTACACATAAAATATTTGATGTATACATGTGATTTCTGAAATAAGTCTCTCAAATACAGGCTCTTACGTACGGACAATCCCTAAACTCTATGTAGAGATTTATAAAACACCAAAACCAAATGAACTTGTAGACTGGCCCTCTTTCCTCTGTGTACTAACATCAGAATGCCCAGGGAGCTTTCAGCATATCTGCTTTCTAATGCGTTTGCTTACCCTCTCGGTGCCTTCCTTCAGCTGCCTGTGAATAGAAGACCTTACCTTGTCGATTTCTGTCTATTCGCACTGATTAGATGCTGTCCTTTGTTGTACTGCTTTCTGTAATAAAAATGAGGTGGTCTGCTACTCAGTAAACTTTCGTGTTTTCCATTCTTAAAAATAGATGATTAGAACATGTTGCTTTAAAAAAAGAAAGCTAGTCAACGTGTTATAAACCAGTCTTACGTTTTTTTCAAACTGTTATTTTTGTGTTTGTTCTCTATGGTACTCGTGGGAAGGTCAGATGACAACTTCAGGAGTGGGTTCTTACCTTCTGCCTTGCTGAGACAGGGTCTCCCTTGTTTCTTCTGTGTGGTGGACTCCAGGCTCAATTGACCCTCCTGTGCTGAACCTCCTGTCTCCATCTTTCCATTGCCATCATGCAGCTGTGATGTCAGGCTTGTGCAGCCAGTGCTTTTACAAGCTGAGGCATTTCCCTGGTCCTAACACCTGGTTTTTGTACTTTTTTTTTTTTTTTAACTAATACCAGTTTTCATATTTTAGATCTTTCATTTGTAAGCTATAGTACATATAAATATGGGCAAGGTTTGAAGTCTGCTGTGTTCCATGCATCCCATGTAAGCATGTAAGTGGGAATGAATACACAAGATACTGATGGGTCACATGAAGTGTATGTGGTGGTTGATATTTGGCATTTGTTTTATCTGAGAATATCTGTTATAATCTTTTTATTGAGAATTTCAGCACTAGCCAGGTTCCCTTTCTTCTCAACTGAATTCCTTTAGGGTGTGTTGCTTCTAAATCTGCTTCCTCTTGGCTGTGATCTTCCTGTTTGGACATATTTTGACTAAAATTCAGATAAGCATACTTGCTTTAAAGGGTTTTTTTTGTTTTTTTGTTTTGTTTTGTTTTTTGAGACAGGGTCTCAAGTAGCCCAGGTTAGCCTCAAACTTGATATATTTAGTAGAGGGTGACCTTGGACTTCTGATCCTCCTGTCTCCACTTCCCAAGTGCTAGGATTACAAGTGTCCCTTACCACACACACCTGCTCTTATGTGGTGCTGGGGATGGAAGCTGTCTATATCCCCAATTTAAGCACCTGAAAATCGTACATGGAGAGTTTTGACCAAAACAAAAACAAACAAACAAACAAACAAACCTTGAAAGTTTTGAGTCTGCTTTTAAAGGTCATTAGCATACTGTATTTCTTAACTTTATTAGTCATCAAAATCTGTCCAATATAGACATGAATAGCTGTCTAGATGTCTCTTGTTCTCTCTGCCCCTATGCCTTGCATTTGCTAAGCAGTGCTTACAAAGCAGTGTCCCAGCCAAGAATGTGCCTTTAATGTTCTTTTTAATTAAAATGATTATTTTTGTGTGTACCATAGCACACATGGAGGTCAAAGGACAACTTTGTGGAGTCACTTCTTTTACGTTCATGTGGGCTCCAGGGATTGAACTCAGGTCATCAGGCTTACATGACATGACTTTCTCATGTTGAGTCGTGTGTGACTGGATCATCTGGCTCAACACTAGAAACTGTCACTGCTGGCTGCCAGTCCAGCCACAGATAGGCGTGAACGCCTGTGTCGGTTGTTGTCAGCTGGTGCTTGCTCTCATTTCCTGTGTGGCACAGACTAGGATCTCCTTGACCTCTGGCTATCAGCTGACAGCACAGAGCACTGCATTTCCTCTTCTTCCAGCAGGAGGAAGCAGTTTTCTTTTATACTCTGAAAGCATGTGGCTCAGACTTCCCTACTGCTGTGATATTGGAAATTGCTTGGGATTGAATTAAAACCTGAAAGTTTGAGTCCAGACCTTGCCAGACATCTTTTTACTTTTTATGAACTGGAGTTTTACAACTTTAAAATGGGCATAATTCTCTTATTTGTTATTTAGATTACTATGTTTTGTCGTTCCCCCCCCCCCCCATCCCGCCATATTAAAGTGGTTAAATAGGGCAGTAGTAACAATTCTTCTCTGGGTTGTTGTGGGAATCAAATTAATGTGTGAAAAGGTAAGCTGTAAGATTTAGAGCAGTTGAAAAAATCAGTCCTCCTTCATGAAAACAGTACATGAGATGGTAAAGACAGGAGAAAACAGGAGGGAAACATTGTTTCCTTCTTAGTATGTTTCCTTCACTTTGTTTTTTTTTTTTTTTTTTTTTAAAGATTTATTTATTTATTATGTATACAGCATATATGACTGCAGGCCAGAAGAGGGCACCAGATCTCATTACAGATGGTTGTGAGCCACCATGTGGTTGCTGGGAATTGAACTCAGGACCTCTGGAAGAACAGTCAGTGCTCTTAACCTCTGAGCCATCTCTCCAGCCCCTCCTTCACTTTGTTTTTAAACAGTCTTTTTGAATTGCATTTTGTCTCTTTGAAACAGTCTCACGGTAGGCCAGGCTGGCCTTGAGTTTTCCATCCTCTTCCCTCAGACTCCCGAGTGCTGGTGCTTTTCATCCTCCTGTGGATGGCAAAAACACTTCTTTAAGATTTATTTGTTTCTTCTGAGTGTCTGCACCTGCATGGGTTTATGTGCACCATGTATTGTACCCTTGGAGGCCAGAGCGCACAGCAGATTGCTGAGACTGGAGTGACGGGGTTCTGAGCTGTCTGATGTGTGTGCTGGGAACCAGATCTGGCTCCTCTAGAAGAGCAGTAGGTGCTTTTAGCCAGTGGGCCATCTTTCCAGCCCCCAAACCCCTGTACTAAGGAGGCAGTTTTGGCAACTCTTTAATTCCTAGCAGGCGCAGGGGCATGCACGGTATGGTGCGGCATGTGGAGGTCAGAGGACACGTGGGGGTCATTTCTGTTTCTGTTTGTGGACTGAACTCCAGCTGTCAGGCTTGGCAGCAAGCTCCTTCACTGGATGAGCTACCTCCCTCCCCAGCCCTCAAACTGTTGAGAAGTTGTTGATTTATAACATAATTCCTACCTCTCTCTGCCTGGGACTGGTCTTCTGGAGACTTTATGAATTTTCTTGATTGTGTGTGTGTGTGTGAGGGGGTGTTAAGGAAACATCAAACAGTGTCTGAGAAATGGTGTGATTGGATTGGCATGTAGAATACCTCCTACAGTAGCTAGCTGAGATGGTGGCAGGTCCTGGCTGGTCATGTAGCTTGAGGGAAGTGGGAGGGAAAGTCCTCAGCTGAGCACGAGGCAGGCGAGTGGCCTGGCCAGCATGATAGCGGAAATGTCAGTGGTTCAGAGCGCCACCGCTGTCACCTTTATCTCCACAAACTTGATTACAGCAGTGACAGAGGGACATGCACAGCTTTGCTGCTGACAGAAGCTGGTTGTGTGAGGACTGACTCTTACCCTAAGTGATGGCTGTCCCAGTGTTGTTCCTTCGCAAAGGATGTTTGGGGAGGGCTGGAAAGTTTGCTCCTGTACAGAACGCCTCATTGGGAAACGTGTAATAAATGGTGCTTTCTTTCAAAATAGATTAAAGGAAGATGGAAGTGGAAGTGCTTATGACAAAGAATCGATGGCCATTATCAAGCTGAATAATACAACTGTCCTTTATTTAAAGGAAGTCACTAAATTTTTGGCACTGGTTTGCATTCTTAGGGAAGAAAGCTTTGAACGAAAAGGTAATGAAGTTTTTTTTAAAAAACTGCTTGTGTTTATTATTCATTGTTTAAATTTTGTTCCTTTTTAAAAATTTATTTTTTTGCTGTGTGTGTCCAGGTATGCGTGCACATGTGTGACTGAGTGCATGTCTGCCACATATGCAGCCAGTGGAGGCCAGAAGAAGGCATTGGATCCACTGGAACTGGAGTTACAGGGTGGTTTTGTAAGCCATCATTAAAAAGAAAAAAGCCTGCGGTGGTGGTCCACACCTTTAGTCCCAGCACTCAGGAGCCAGGCAGGCAGATCTCTGTGAGTTCCAGGCCAGCTTGGACTACAGAGCGAGTTCCAGGACAGCCAGGGATACACAGAGAAACTTGTCTTGGAAAACCAACAACAACAACCACAAAAACAAAGACTTATTTACCGTTTCATATGTTTGTGTGTATGCCTGAGTGTGTGTGTGTATATGTATGCCACATGGGTACAGGAGCCTGAGGTGGGCAAAGGAGGCTGTGGAGCCATAGGTGGTTTTGAGCCATCATTGGGTGCTGGAAACCAAACCTGGGTCTTCTGCAAGAGCAGCAAGCATTCTTAACTGTTGAGCCATCTCTCTGGCCCCCAAAGAGTTGTTTGTTTCTTTCTTTTTAAATTTTTATTATTTTATGTGTGTGAGTATTTTGCTTGCCTATATGTCTGTGAACCACTTGTATGCAGTGCCCACAGAAGCCAGGAGAAGGTATCAGATGCCCTGGAGCTGGAGGTATAGATGGTTGTAGCCACCATGTGTGTACTAGAAAACAAATCCTGGTTCTCTGGAAGAGCAGCCAGAGCTGTTAATGTCTGAGCCATCTCAAGCCTAAAGAGCTGTTCTTTGGCTCTTGTTTTGTTTCTGAGACAGGGTCTCTATGATGGAGCTCTAGCTGTTCTGGAACTTGTTATGTAGATCAGGCCAGCCTTGAACTCACAGAAACTCACCTGCCTACTGAACACTGGTATTAAAAGCATGGGCCACCACACTCAGCTGAAAAGCTGTTCTTAAGTTACATTTTTATTATGATTTCTCAAGTTCTTGAAAGCAGTATTGCACTGTAATACTAATGGCTATCTTACAAGTCAGCTTAAATACTTCCGTGTGTCTGTCTATATGTAGTCCAGATGTTCTCTTTCCTTTTAATCTTGTGCTTTCATCAAGATTTTTAGCCCATCCCGTCTTCCTCCGTATACTTTGTTGGCTCTTCTTGCCTGTGGTTTGTTTTCCATCTGAACCAGTCCTCAGCTATCTCTTCTTGTGGCATCTGCTGGCTTTTCTCCTTCTGCAGGGTCTTCAGTCTTCTGGAGCATGTGGCTGACAGTCCTTCCTTGAGCACAGCTTTCTTCTCTGGATCACCTTGTATATTTTGTCTGTCTCCTATTTCCTTCTGGCTGGTTTTCTTTGTCCTAATTCCATGTTCTTCAGTGCCAAATCTTTCTGCTTGCTTCTCTCTCTTTAGGTCAGCTCCTAAGTTCATAGCTTGGGAGTGTGTTCTCTCCTACCATGGGCTCCAGGGATTGAACTGAGGTTGTTAGGCTTACATGGGAAGTACTTTTACCCATTAAGCTGGCTCTCTAGCCCTAGTTCATGGCTTGGGTTAATCAGTTTGTGACTGAAAAATTTACCCCTGCAACTTTCTGGAGCTCATGTTCTGGTACCATGTTAGGCCCTGTTAGTGAGACATCCCCATTTCAGTATTAGCTGTGTTCTGACCGTTGTGAGTAGCCATCACTGAGTGATAATGACCCCTCCCCATCTTCTTATCCCTTCTGACTCCTGCCTACCCTGCTTCTGACATGCTTTCTGCCGTTTTTCTTATGTACAAACTTCAGTGTCTTGTCAGGTAATTGGTGTTTCCTTTGTGGACTGGTCCATAGGTGGGTTGATTTCTCTGTAACCTCCCTGGCTATCCTGGAACCTACTCTGTAGACCAGGCTGTCCTTGAACTCACAGAGATCTGCCTGCCTCTGTCTCTACCTCTTGAGTGCTAGAGTTCCAGGACAGCTAGGCTGTTACAGAGAGAAACCCTGTCTCAAAAAACCCCCAAAAAAACAAAAACAAAAAAACCCTCCATTCTTCTGCCTAAGCCTTAAAAGAAATATTTATATATATATATTTTTTCATATTAAACAAAGTGTGTATTTACTTTTGACCTTAAGAACAAGTGTGGAGTCTGGGGAGGTAGTTCAGTGGTTAAGATCATTTCCTGCTCTTTCAGATGACCCTAGCAGCCAGGTGGGGTGGCTCACAACCAGCTGTAGCTGTAGCTCCAGGATCTTATGCCTCCTGGCCTCTCTAGGCACTGCATTCGGGTGCACAAACCCACACACACACATACACACAGAGTTAAGAAAAGAGATGGCATGACATTCAACTGCAGTCTTCTGTATATTTTTCTTGAGCTACATCCCTTTTTTGGTGCTGTGTATTTTATTTTTCCTATGCATAACTTACTCTTGTTTCATAACTACCCATAAGCAATATTGTGCAAATGATGCTGAATTGAAGTTGAGTTTTTGCAACATGTATTTTTCTCCTTGTTGGGGTTATTTTTGAGATTTCCCACTGTTGTATATTGAACTTTGTTTTTGTTGCTAGATATTTAGGTTTTTTTTGTTTTGTTTTGGAGACAGAGTTTCTCTATGTAGTCCTGGAACTCACTTTGTAGGCCTGACTGGCCTTGAACTCACAGAGATCCACCTGCCTCTGCCTTCCAAGTGCTGGGATAATAGACATGTGCTGCCACTGTCTGTCTGGCTCCCATTTAGATTGTTTTAAAGGTACAACTAATTTTTGACAAATACCTATGAATAAGCCATATATGATGGCTCATATCTTTAGTCCTAGCACTTGAAAGGCAGAGACAAGAGTATTGTTGTATGTTTGAGGCCAGCTAGGTGTCTTAGTGTTTCTGTTGCTGTGATCAGACACCATGACCATAAACAGCTTTGGGAAGGAAAGGGTTTATTTGCTTTATACTTCCACCTCACTGTTCATCATCCAAGGAAGTCAGGACAGGAACTCAAGCAGCAGGGCAGGAACCCGGCGGCAGGAGCTGATGCAGACGCCATGGAGGGGTGCTGCTTACTGGCTTGCCTCCCTTGCCTTGTTCAGCCTGCTTTCTTATGGAACACAGGACCACTAGCCTAGGGATGGCATCACCCACAATGGTCTGGCCCTCCCATAATCAATCATCAAACAAGAAAGTGCTCTACATATTTGCTTACAGGCGAATCCTATGGCAGCATTTTCTTGATAAGATTCCTTCTTTCCAGATGTGTCAACTTGTGTCAGTTGGACATGAGACTAGCCAGCACACTAGGACTATAAAACAAGATGCCATTTCAAAAACCAACCAGGTTGAAGATGCAGCTCCATTGTCAGAGAGTTTGTGCAGCATGCAGGGGCTCTGGGCTCATAGTCCCCGGCACCACAGGAACTGGGTGTGGGGGTACCCACCTCTAGTCCCAGCCCTGGGGAGCTGGAGGCAGGATCAGGAATTTAAAGGTCTTTTTTGGCTACTTAATGAGTTTGAGGCCAGCCTGTTGCTGCATGAGAGACTGCCTGAAAAAATGAACAAACAGCAATAACAGCAACAAACCCCAACCAAAATTAATGCCCAGGAACAGATGTGCTGTGCACACGTGTTGTCTGTCTCTAGGGTGAGTGTGCAGGAATGCACACTCATGGACACATTAACAAAGGACTCTCCCTAGTGCCTTTACCACGTTCACCCCTCATAGCAGGGTGAGGGTGTTCTCATCATGTTGTCTCCTTATAATGCTTGATACTGTCTGAGTCTGTAACTGTGACGTGCTATCTCATTTTTACATACTTAATTGCCAGTTAGGGCAGATCACTTTTCATGGCAAGCACCTTTTTGTAGACATTCAGGTTTCTTTGGTAACTTGTTTTTTATAATTTCGTTACATTTAATTTATTTGTGTATATGTGTGCATGTGTACAAAAGTGAAATCTAGACTTAGTGAAATCTAGTCAGTATATCCAGAGTTCAGCCTCATCCATGAAGTTTTCATTGCCAGCTTTGCCCTGCCTGCATTTAGCTCTCCCTTCTGTGGACTTCTTTAGTTGGCAGATTGTTTTGATTTGTTGTGTTTTGGCTTTCTGCCCTGCTAGCATATGCTTGAAAGTGTGGACCTGATGCTGCTGCTTTTGACACATTACATCCGCTATCACGCTGTCAATAGTGTTCAATGACTTATCCAGTCTGCTATAAATTACTGAAAGGTCACATGATGTTTAGGTAGGCCACATGGTGCTTTTTGGTATTTGATATGGACAAGTGCAGGTGGGATGGTCTTGCTACGCCAGTGGGTGTATATGGTGATTCTAAGAATTGAAGAGCTTGCTGTTCAGTTTGAGCATTTCAGAATTTCAAGCCAAGTGCCTGTATCTAGCTCAGGGGAGACTGAGAAATGGAATGTTTTGAGCTCAGTATCAGCTGCTCATTCAGAGTTGGGGTTCTGTGTGTACAAGTGAAGTGGGGGGGGGGGGCGGATGTTGACCTGCCCTTTCTGTCACAAGAGAAACCTTTGTTCACCCAAAGTCTCAAGTGGATGTTCAGTTCCTAAAACAGATGGAGAGGAAGTCTCCTCTCCCAAAGATGGGTGTAGGGTGCTGGAGCCCTGCTGAGCCTGTGCTCATGATGCTTCCCTGTGTCCTGCAGACCTCACTAACTGCTCTAGAGGGCAGTTTAGTAGTCCAAAGAATTTTACCCTGACCTCAGATTTCATTAACACATCCACCTTCCCACTTGTTTTATTTTTGTTTTGTTTTTTGTCGGAGCTGAGGACCGAACCCAGGGCCTTGTACTTGCTAGGCAAGCGCTCTACCACTGAGCTAAATCCCTAACCCTTGTTTTTGGTTTTTAGAGACAGAGTTTCTCTGTGTAGCCCAGGCTAGCCTCAAACTCAGAGATCCATGCCTGCCTCCCAGTGCTGGGATTAAAGGTGTGTACCACCACTGCCCAGCCGCACTTCATTCGTTAGATTACCAGCCCTCCCTGTCCACTCCTGCCTTAAAGCAAGGCAGCAGGGTTAGCAGCTGAGTTCTTGGTTTAGCGTGATTGCACTGTGGAGAACTTCAGATGGTGGAGAACTGCACAGCTGACATTAAGTAGACAGGCTCTTCTTCTCTCTCACAGGTTTGATAGACTACAACTTCCACTGTTTCCGAAAAGCTATCCATGAGGTGTTTGAGGTGGGTGTGACTTCTCACAGGAGCTGCAGTCACCAGACCAGTGCCCCAAGCCTGAAAGCATTGGCACACAATGGCACACCACGGAATGCCATCTAGTCTGAATCTCAGCAATTGAGGCCCAGTGCCAGCTCACTCCTCACTCCAGGGTCAGATGCCACGTGCAACAGAACACGGGAGCTGCTGCCTATGGGAGTCTGGAGACGATGGGGAGGTTTCTCATGTAGACGAAAGCCCTTGAGCCAGCTCTGTGCACCTGAAGCTACTATCTCTTTAAAATACGGCACAAAAGAACTCTAGAGACCTCAGAACTCAGTGTGGCTTTCTCCTCTTTGGGTCCTACCTTAAATAGTTGGGATAATTTGGACCTGGAGATGATACTGGTTATCCATCTTTACCAGTGAATGTTGCTGTCAATTCCAGCCTCCAACAGCAGGAAAACCGAGTTTATCCGCTTCCCTTAGCCTTTCACTTAAGTAGCGTCTAAAGACCTTGCTTTGCTTACGTTCTAACACTGCCTCTCAGAGCTCAGATCTCACTGTACCTCTCAGACCATGGAAGTGCATTAGCTTGCTGCCTCAGAAAATGCAGCAAAGGATGCTTCTGTGTTTGTCCTGAAGAAAAAAGGAGATTCCTGTGTGGCGTCGGGGAGAGCCAGGCTCAGCAAGCAAGAGCCGCGTCAGCTTCCTGGCTGTGGTGAGGAAAAACTGAAAGGAGAGAATTCCCACGCCGGCGTTTTGGGTAGCAGACGGATGCAGTCTCCTCATCTGATTGTGATCATGCACAGTGTAACAAGGGAGTTGAAGACAGAAAGGTTTCCTTCCCATAGTCCCCCATGGTGAGGGGCAAACCCATTATGTCACTGAAGTACTTAGCTCACTTTTCTTTAATTTTGATGCCATGCCTTTTATTCTACACTATGTAGGTTCTTTAAGAATTGTTTTTGACCATAGATGACCCTAAGGCTCTGGTGGACTGTCCACTGTGGGTTGGAGGAAGCATGTGGTGGGACAGTGTGTTACTCTACATACCCTGTCTCCGGGATTCTGACACCGAGTGTCAGCTGTGGTACTTTCCTTTGCCCGGGATATGAATTCATAATTGTTTCTCTTGTTCATGGCTGATACCCTTCCCATTGATTTAGACTTACACATTTTCTTTACTGCACATGCCCAGTAGTCACATTCCAAAGCCACTGGGCCACTTGAGTGCATCAGTGCCGCTGTTGAATAATATGTACTCAGGTCTGTAACCCAGCAGTGAGACTTGGAGTGCTTCCTGCAGATGACTGACTGTTGAGTATCTACATGGACCATGGTGATATCCAAAGGAAAAATGCTTTTATATTTATAGATTTCATTGAACTCTATGTAAAATGGGTATCAATAAATGTATTTACTCCAAAAACCGTTTTTCTTGCGTGAAGTATGAGAGTGCTTAGCGGGCAGACACAGTGGCTCTTCTCTCATCAGTTCCAGTCCTTTACTGCCATGTGCGGTCCCCATTCCTTGTTTCAGGACTTCAGGTTCTGTCTTGATGTCATCTCCATGACTCATTTCTGCCAAGGGCTGGGAGGTGTGGGCCCAGGGGAGAACTTGTTTGGATTTGGGTTTTATGTCAACAGTCCCACTGGTGGTGGGGGGTGTCCAGAGCCTGGCATGGCTTGTGTACTGCATCCAGGCTGAGGGTAAGGAAACTGAGCTACCGCAGGAGTTGAGGACATGGGTGAGATGGCTCCGCTGGTGACGGTGCTGCCACCAAGCCTGATGACCTAAGTTCAGTCCCTAGCACCCACAAGGTGGAAGGAGAGAGCACCACACATACATGGTCGCTCATGTTTGCCTTTACCCCCTAACAAACAAAAGTGTAAGAGAACAACCCCTAAAATCATGGTACCAAGTCTCCTAGGTACTCATTACTGACTTCTGGATGTCAGTATTTACATAAAAGCATAGTTAGGTGAGTCTAAGCCGACTGAAGAAATAGTCATTAACTTAACCAGAAGGAAGTATTGTTTGAAGGATGTCTAATTTCATAATTAGACTAATTTAGAACTTAAGTTTTGAATCTTCAAAATAGACGTCACAAGCTGTCTGAAAAAAACGTCTATTAAATATATCTAACCATTCCCTGTTTTTACACAGTGGAAACAGGTCAGATGATAAAGAGCCTTGCTGAGAGCTGAGGATAGGAAGGATGGTGTGTACCTTCAACTCCAAGCAGGGGATGTCCTTCCTCATGCCTAAGCCACAGCTGTAAAGTGCTGGGGTAAACCAAACGTCCTGCATGCGATTGGTAGCAGAGTAGGACATGTCCTTCAGCCTAGCACCTGTCCTTATTTGCTTCCTGTCTCGGGCCCAGGGTTGGAGATACTGCTTCACGATTTGCATAGCACTCTGTTGTGACATGCACCTGTGGCCTTAGCTACTCAGAAGGGTCACTTAAGTGTTGTGCCCTGCAACTGTGAGGTGACTTTAAAAAAACAAACCCACAAGCATAATTTAAAGCTCCGAGGCAGGAGAATCATTGAGTAGCCTGCTGTTGTACATAGTTCTAGGTCAGCCTTAGTTACAGAGTAAAGACCCTATCTTACAAAACCAAACTAATACACATTACTCAGGGGCTCAATAAATTATTTTTTTCTACCTTGACAAAATTATAAATGCAGGGGTGATTAAGAAAGGAAAAAAGTGAAAAACAGCTTAAAAAAAAGACTTGGAAAGGAAAGTATTCAGGAAGAAGGTTTACCTGAAATGTGTGGGCCCCCGGTGGCTGTTTACCTACAGCTACCTCAGAGCTGGGAAGGTTGGCCAAGCACCTTTAACTTCCTCTGCAGTGAGGTGGCTAGCTAGTTCTCAAAAGGGCTGCTTTCCTGTGCCCCACATTCACAGATGCACAGATATAAATGTTATATATGGCCATACAGAATATAAATGTTACATATTTTGTAATACATAGATACACACAGATTATAAATTATAAATGAATGTTATATACGTTTTGCACACACGTGTATGTATATCAGTATCATTTGTGAGTTGTGTTGATTTCACATGAGCTCTGTGCTGATACAGAGAAATGTGATTTAAAAGATAGCATCATTCTCAACCCTTATTGAGAAAAGCCCTGAGATTGATAGACTTTGGTAAGGTTTTCTATTTGTCCTTTCCTTGTTCTGCTTAGGCCAAACTGGTCTCGAACTCAGAGACATCTGCTTGCCTATGCCTCCCAAGTGCTGGGATTAAAGCCATGTGTTTCCCTTAACAAAATGGCTTCTCTGAACTGCCTTACCCCAGAGTAAGGCACCAGACACCCAAGGATGTGAGGGAGTAGCAGCTGCTACCAATCATCTTCATAAAGTGAGGCAGCCACTCCATTCCTGCTGTACAGATGGGAAAATAGAGGCACAGAGGAGGCAAACTGGAGTACTGGAGTTAGAAACGGACTCTACAGAGTCCCTATCCTTACACTAATGCTTGACCTTGCTGACTGAGCAGAGAGGGTTTGTTCATGTGTGTAGGGCAGAAAAGGGATTCTAATATTCAATCTGGAAGCATGCTTCTTGTCATCTCTTCTGGGAGATCGGCTTTGTACAGTCATTGTACAGACATCTAAGGACCTGAGGAGATCTGCAATAAAGAAGCCTACTTACCTTGGCACCATATTTCATATGCCTGTTTATTTGACCTGTTAGGAAATGCCCATAAAGCAGTGTGTGAACAACACACAAATCCACACTGAAACATTTTAATAGGATTGGAATTTGGCTTTTATTTTTGGTGCCAAGGTGAGGGTAAGGATAACATACTCTCTTACCTTTGTCCTACATCTCCAACCTGGAACTGATTTTTTAAATACCATTTTCTAAGTGTCTTGCATGAAGCAAGCTGGTTTCTTGGCTGGCTGGTTCTGCACCAATCCTTGTAGGTAATGAAGGGACAGGCTTATTTGACTAGCTTTTTCTCAACATGCCAAGACTAAGGGAAAGCCTTTGCATGTGTGAACTGCTTCACACCCAGGCTTTGCTCTATGAAGGCCAGGGCTCTGTCCTGGTCTGGGTGGTAAATAAATAGCATGCCTAGTTTTTTTGTTTGTCCTGTCTGGTGCTTTAGCATCTGGCCCCTAGGTGGCGGTGTTGTATTATGTTAACGCATAGTTTCTTGACTACTTATTTGCCGAGTTCTGAAAGTTTTTATTGCCTGTACCCTCAAGGGCTCGCCTAACTTAGAGACCCAATGGTTTTCTGAAGTCGTTCCTCTGGGAAGATATTCAAGACTTATCTGAGAAATTTTATTGGAAGTGGAACAGTTTGCAACTTTCTCTTTTTAACAAGGTTTAGCTAGGATGAAGGTCACAACATTGATTGTATGTTGAGTTACAAAGGGTCCTTAAGAAGATAGCTCTATCTGAATTCCCATAGCGACCAGAATCTGCTACACTCCAAACTATTTGTTGTAGATGTGTTGTGAGTACCCTTAAAGGCTCCCATGGGGGGAAATGCCACATGTTCAAATTAAAATACCAGCTTTCATCACTTTCCTTTGCACGAAATGAGGTTTATTGAAATTATTTCACACTTGAACTTGAGAGATAAAAATTTCATAAAGGAAAAGACCAGCATCACATGACCCTCCAGTACCTGCCTTCTTCCAGGGCTGTGACTTTGTTCTGCAAAGACAAACTTTAATGTAAAAGGAAATAGATACATCAATGCACCTCCAGATCTGTTTAGATAGAATTTAGAATATTGCGTATGCAGCAACCCCAGTTTAACTCAGTGGGATAGACACACACATGAAGGTAGAAGGGGGACTAGTTGGAAAAAAGAAAGGTTCAGAAGGGAGGGAGATGAGAGAAGATAACGGGCGAACATGAACAAAATACATTTCATATATATATATATGAAATTGCCAAAATATACTAATTTGAAACAATTACAAAGTACAGAATAAGGAACTGAATGATAGGAAACCACTTTCACCCCTGAAATTTCTTATACTTTAAAAATCATCACCTGAGCTACCGTGATCAAACATGGAGGCATCTGGGAGATGATTGGTTCCGTTTGTTATGATAACCTACATAGTGGACAGAAGCATGGACTGTAAAAGCAGAATGTTAATAGTCCGCAATGCTCTTTTTCTGTTTGCTTCTTTTAAAATTGTTAACTTAGTTTTGTGTGTGTACCTGAGTGTATGTATGTGCGCCATGTGCATCCGAGGAGGTCAGGAGAGGTGTTGGATCCCCCAGAACTGGAGTTATAAATGGTTGAGGGGCATCATACGGGCACTGGGAACCAAACCTTGGTCCTTTAAAAGAGCAGTAAGTGCTCTAAATTGCTGAGCCATCTCTGCAGCTCCTTGTGTTCCTTTCAAAATCAGGCGGGGGCACATGTGGTTTGGGTGAGCTGTGCACATGTCTTTCAGCGTTTTCTCCTGCCTCCATCCAAATTGCCACACTGTGCACTCCAGGTAATGAGCCAGCTCAAAGGGGAATGGTAATGTATTTGAGCAGACCAGGCCTATATTATTCCAAAAATGCAGTGCTGGAATGCTCTGAATGGAGGCTTTGTTCCAGAAAAGGCTCTGGCTTGGCAACTTTGGGAGACGGGCAGAGAATCAGCCCAGAGCTCTACCGATCCTTTCTCTAATACGTGTCTTGACTTTGGTAATGGAGTGATTTGTAATTTCCATGAGTGGGGGCTGCCTTTGTGACCTAGTGTCTCTCTTTTTGGGTTAATGTTTCAGACAGAGCACTTGGGTTCTGCGTCCCTGCTGTGTGCCCCTGTGGCAGCCTCTTGGCAGAAATGGGATGATTGAGAAAGACACGCTGTTTGGCACAAAGGAGCTCGTGTGAGGTTTGAGTTGCTAGATTGCAATAGAAATGTCCTCTGACCCCCTGTTGCAGCATCCTACGGAGGTGAGACTGGCTGGCACCACACTGGGGACTGTCCAGACTTGCCCTGGGTCAGCAGAAGGGAAGATGCTACGGGGCAGGAAATGCTTTGTACCCTCACCTTAAACTCTTCCATGCCAGCCCTTGGGAAGCAGAGGCAGGCGGATCTCTGTGAGTTGGAGGCCAGCCTGGTCTACAAAGCGGTGTCCCAGGACAGCCAGAGCTGTTACACACAGAGAAACCCTGTTTTGAAAACCAAAACCCAAACCAAACCAAACAGAAAGAAAGAAAGAAAGAAAAAAGAGAAAGACAAAAAGAAATGAAAGAAAGCAAGAAATGTCCTCTGAGAACCAGAGTGATGGGGAGACGGCTGTATTTGAGGGTGGGTTGTCATGCTGAGCAAGGCAGGGCGCATGCAGGGTGGGCTTAGAGAGGACTGTGGTCATCCGGTGGGAGGAGGAAGGCTGAGATGGCAGTTAGGATGCTCTTGGCAGATAGAGAGGGAAACCAGATGGCT